ACACACACACACACACACACACACACACACACACACACACACAAGTTCCACCTTCTCCCACAAGGGGGCAGCAGAATCTACAGTCCAGGCAAGGAGTCTTCCGCTGTTTGCCTCCCTCACCTGCCTGGCCCAACCTCTGAAATAGGGCAGACCCCCAACCCTTCCCCACCCGAGCCACGACGTGACATCTGTCTGCTTCCCACGGAGTGCCGTCTAGCCAACCCACCTGCAATAAGGAGTAGACAGTTTCTGAGTTAGAATCACATCACTCCCGGAGGCGAGTACACGAGGATCACGCTGCCTTTACAGCTGAGGAAACTGAGGCACGCGGAGACAAACCATCCCAGGCAAGCACCCAGCTGAGTCAGGAGTCAGACCCAGGCAGTTGGACCCAAGAGCCGGCGCTAACCATTGTGCAGTCCGAGCTCTGCTAGCGTGGGCCCTGGCTGGCTTCTCCTGCAGTGCTTGTCCTGTTGGGTCACAAGAGCTAGGGCGTCTCTGCGCACAGGGATGTCCCCTCAAGGTGGGCTGGCCCCAGCCTCTGCCCTGTCCCCTGGGGGTCTGTGTCCGGCCAGCTACCCACCAGGTCAGCCCCGGTCTCCGTGCAGGTGGACAAGTCAGTGCCGGTGCCGGTGGACGAGGTGCCCACCCTAGGCGACGGGATCCTGGAATATGATCCATTCTTCTGCCCCCCGACCGAGGCTACGGCCCGAGACTTCCTCGCAGATGCCCTGGTCACCCTCCTCGTGCCTCTGCTGGTGGCTCTGCTTTTTACCCTGCTGCTGGCCTATGTCATGTGTTGTCGGCGGGAGGGACGGTGAGTGGGGGTGGGGGCGCTGGGCTGGGTGGGGGGGCATGGGGGTCGCAGCCAGAGGACAGCAGGGCTCTTTCCGGGAAGCCGGAGGCTTGGGTTCTGCCTGGCTGCTCCCGGGAGGAGACTGTGACAAGCGCTTAGCAAGCACCACACACTGGGGCCCTGGGGACACTTTGAGACAAAGCCCGGAGCGGAACTAACCCTCAGCTTCGCTTTTCCTCAGGTTGAAGAGAGACCTGGCCACCTCTGAGTGAGTAAACACTGGGGACTGGGTGGGAGGCCCCCAGACTGTCCCACTTTCACAGCAACGGGGACAAACACGACTGGGGCGATGGGGGCCACTTGACCTCAGAGCTCTGGCCTGGAGCTGGCAGTGTGGTAGGCTTCTGTCCTGACCTCATGTGCTGGTCATAGAGGGGTCTGTCATGGCACAGAGGGAGGGGAACCTGTGTGGGCTGGAGAGCTTCACACTCGCTCACACACACACACACACACACACACACACACACACAGAGGCACACGCATTTCTCTCTGAGCCAGACAGTGGGGTTCTAGATTGGGTCCCATCTCCCTTGCTAGCCTCAGATTCTCCACATGCAAGAGGGTGTGGTCAAGCCAGGTGTAATGGCACAAGCCTGTAATCCCAGCCCTCAGGAGGCTGAGGCAGGAGGATTGCTGAGTTTGAGGCCATTCTGGGCTACATAGTTGAGCTCAAGGCCAGCCTGAACTACACAGTGAGACCTGTCCCAGAAAAAAAAAAGAGGACGTGGTTGGACCAGCTGAGGGCAATGGGTGCTCTCAGTTCTGCCCTCCTGCCCCAAACCCATCTATCTCCCTTCTCCTTTTGCTCCGGGTGCCCCCTGCCCATGGCCTTAACCCTCCTCGGCACCCCCACCCCTCCTCCTTCCCCACTCCCCAGACCCCAAAGATTCCAATGAGGCAGGTGTTCAATAAGAGGGGCTCCTTTTATTCCCACAGCACTGAGCCTGTGGCGAGCCTGGCACCCCTGCAGCTGGCCTGACTTGTTAATTGCGGCGCTGCTTGGCCACCCTGCGAACCCCCTTGAGAAGCCGCTTGTGGCCCTGCTTAGAGCCCAGTAGTGATCGGCGCTGTTGGGATCCGTGCTGTCTGGGCTGGCGACGCTGCCCAGCCCGACGCTGCCCAGCCCGGCGCTGCCCAGCCCGGCGCTGCCTCCGCCTCCGCCTCCGCCGTGATCTCTTGGTCTTGAGCTTGGGCTTGGAGGACTTCTTGCCCAGGCAGAAGGAGCCCAGGGCCCCTTTGCCGGTCACCTGCCGGAGCATGCCCTGTTCCACCAGCTTCTTAAGCGCACGCTTGAAGCGCCAGGTGTTGCGGATCATATTGTAGCCCGTGGTGGCCACGGCATTCTTCAGGGTGTTCAGGGACACGAGGTGGCCCATTCCCTTGTCAGCCATCGTTCTCAGGATCACCTTGGATATGCTGGGCTTTGAAGGCTCCTTGGTGCCGTGTCCAGTCTCACTCTTGCTGGTGAGGCCCGTGGTGCTGGCCTGCCGGCCTCCAGCCGTGGTGGAGGTGGTGGCCTCGGGCTCGGGTGGTGGAGGCGGCTCCGAGTTGCTCTGCATTTCTTCCTGGGGGGGAAGGCGAGGGCAGCTGGGCGTGAGGACCTCCAGGGTGGCGGCTGGGTGGCTCTCAGTGGTGGGCGAGCTGCGTCCTGCTCCTTCCCCTCAGCGGCTTCCTTGAGGGAAGTCTGGGAACGGTCACCCACGGCTGGCCTCAGCAGGTTTGTGCCGCGGACTCAGCGGGCGGAGAAGTTATCTCTGCACTGACCTCACAGGGACATTGTGAGGTCAGCGGAATCCTGCGTGGGTCACAGTGGCCCCTTTGCTCCTTGCTGGGAGGGGCAGGCAGGAGGTGCCAGGGATGTGACTTCTCGGGCCTGTGTATATGCCAAGGCCGATTTTAGGGTCTGAGCCCTCAGCTTTCACTTCTTCGGTGGTACTGGGGATTGAACTCAGGACCTTCATACTGAGCTACCCCTCTAGCCCCTTTTATTTTTTATTTTGAGACTCAACAAGTCATTACAGAGCCGGAGATGTAGCTCAGTGGCACAAGCACCTGCCTGGCAAAAGCAAGGTTCTGAGTTCGATTCCCAATACCAAAAAAAAAAAAAAAAAAGTGGTCATCACATTGCCCAGACTAGGCTTGAATTTAGGATCTTCCTGCCTCAGCCTCCCACCTGGCTCCTTGAGCAAATCTGTACAGAAAGCAGTTAAAAGGCTTCATTTTTTTTATCTTTTTACTTTTATTTTTATTTCACAGGTCACTGATTTTCCACATTAATTTCACAGAGAGGATTTTATTCCTCGGTCTGGAGGGCTGTGCCAGGCTTGACCTATTGCACTTAGGGCACAGTGGGCTTTCTCTGCGGCTGGTATTCTCATTGCTTCCAGGTTTTGGGCCCATTCTGTAGCTCTGATGTTGGTCAGGAACATGTTTCCTACGTCAGTTTGGAATCGATAGCCAGCTTTGCCGTGTGCTATACTGGCCTTTGTTGGTTTGGGTTTTGTGCTGATTTATTTCAACAAAATTCAGGTTTTCGCTTTGTTTGACACTGGCCGCTTGAAAAGTCTGTGCTGGTCACACAAAGTCCTTCTGGGCCCCCTGTCCCGAGGGTCTACACACCCGAGACAGAGTGTACAGGACTGGTGTTGGTGGGGGGTGTGTGCAGGTGAGACCTGGGCCCCACGTGTGCGTGTGCACATGTATGTGAGAAGCCCTGCTGCACGTGTGTCTGCCCTGGCACTGGGGCCGGGCCTGGGACGAGGCGCCTGGCGGTCCGCTGTCTGCTGTCTCTCTGGGAAAACATCCCCGGCTATTTCTCCACCTGTGTGACCAGAGCCCGGAGACTTTGTGCTGGCCATGGGCCTGGGGCCGAGGCTGGGGAGGGTCCTGACGAAGCCCCTTTCTCTCAGGGCAGCACCTTCCAGGCTGTCTCCACCTCTGCACCCACACATCCCCGCCTCATGGAGAAAGGGAAAATTGATTTGGGCCACTGAGTTTATGAATTCCAGGCTCCGGAGCTCATCGTGACCGTCCCCTGGCCTTACACAGTGACTCTACCTCCTCCCTCTGGCCAGGCAGCACGGGCTTCTGCTCCCCGAGGAGTGTGGCCCTTTTGGGAGAGGCAGGAGCGTCTCTCTGAGTGAGCTAAGTCCTTAGGCTCTACCTGGGACCCATGCCACTGATTAAGACTTGGACCCAGGGCGAGGAAGGGTGACCACTTCCCCTCTGTGTCTGATCAGTAACCGTATGGCAAGTGGGGTCACCCCAGCCCCTCTAAGGAAAATGATTCCCACAGTTCTGGTGAGAAGTCCCTGTTCTGTCGGACCTGGTGCGGTCAGGCTGGGTGGGTTCGTGCTAGAGAGGCTTGCAAACACCTTTCCCGGAGGCCGAGTTCTGGGGGCTTGTTATAGTAAAATAGCGTCGACGATGCCATAGCAACCTGAAGCTTCCTGTGATAATAGCTGCCCAGGCTGCCAGGCGGACCAGGAAATGTCTGAGTGCTTTTCCTGGATTAACTCTTTTCGTTCACTACTGCATTACAAGTGAGGAAATTGAGGTACAGAGAGAGTAAGGTGCCCAAGGTAGCAGAGCAGTAAACAGCAAACCCAGATTCAAACGCCAAGGGCGTCCTCAGCTTGACCACTGCAAACGCTGCTTCTCAGGAGGAACTGAAGCTGCTCCTGCACAGGAAGATGTCCGGGAGGATACGGAGGACTAGGCTGAGCTGCACAGGACCTGGAGCTGGGGCTCAGGAAGCACTTGCCGCCGGGTGTGGTGTTCAGTGCCGCTGGGATTTCCAGCTCATTCAGAGTGGGGCGTCAGGAGCCCCGGTGTGTAACAAACAACAGGCAAGAGTCAGTGCTGGGGCAGTGTTAGGTGTACAGGGAGCACGGGAGGGTCTCATTTTGTAGTCCAGGCTGGTCTTGAACTGATGGAGATTCTCCTGTCTCAGCCTCCGGAGTGCTGAGATGATAGGTATGAGCCACCATGCCCTGCTGGAATTTGTACTGAAGGAGGGAGTACAACTTAGTGAGACTCTTGTTTCAAAATAAAAAATAAAAAATGGGCTGGAGATGTAGCTCAGTGTGAGGGTTCGGGGTTCAGTCTCCAGTACTGCAAAACAAAACACACACACACACACACACACACACACACACACACACACTCCATTAAACCCAGCAGATGCCAGCCTCTCCAAATATGTAACCATGGTGGAATCTGTCAGTATCTTAGTGTTTCATGAGCCCTTGCCCTGCACTGGCCACTCTGCTAACATCAAGCCACACTTTTTTCACGTAATGATCCCAACTATCTAGGAGGTAGGGGAAACTGAGGCACAGCATGGCTAAGCAAGTGGCCAGGAACATACAGCCTTGAAACCAGGCTGTCTGGACGCAAACCCTGGGACTTCCTGTTTGCTCCCCATCCCCGCTTCCTGTGTCTGAGCCCTGCCCCCTCTGGCCAGGCTAGACCTGGGGCTGACTCCCGTCCTGTCCTGTCCCCCAGTATCCAGATGGTCCACCACAGCACCATCCACGGGAACACGGAGGAGCTGCGGCAGATGGCGGCCACCCGCGAGGTGCCCCGGCCTCTCTCCACCCTGCCCATGTTCAATGTGCGCACGGGAGAGCGGCTGCCACCCCGCGTGGACAGCGCCCAGGTGCCCCTCATCCTGGACCAGCACTGAGGCCTGGCCAGGTGTGTCTGGCTGGGCAGTGCCAGCGTCATTTCCGGAAGCAAGGTGGCTTCTGTCTCCAGGCGGGGGCAGGGGTGGGGCGGGAGAGGTCAGGAGAAGGGGCGCACAGGCCTGCCTGTGCCTGCAGGGGAGCTGCGGGGTGCTCCGTGTGGCTCCCACCCACCCTGCCCCCAGGCTCTTCCGGCTCTGGCCTCGACCTCATTCCCTTCTCTCTCCACCCAGAGAGCTGCTGACCCTCGGCCGCAGCTGATTCCCGCTCCTGCCCAGGTGGATGCGCCTCAGAAGAGGCAGAGGGATGGGTTTGGAGTCCAGACTCCCAGAATAAACAAACACCTGCTGCTTGCTGTCTGTTGCTGCCGGCGCCTTCCCCTCTGCAGCCTCCCATGGTCCTCACGGCCCGAGTTGCCTTTTCTGCCTTTGAGTCCCCAGCGGCTGCCCCTTGCCCTTTGGACCCTTGGCATTTGCTGTCTTCTTGAAGTCTCTGGAAGAGGGAAGGCTCTGCTCCGTGCAGCCCTCACACAAACTGGACAACAACGAGATGAGTGGATCATTGTCCTCATTTTATAGATAAATCCTATAGATTTATAGGAAACTGAGGCCTAAGGAGAGTAAAGGACAGACCCAAGGTCCCAGAACACGCTGGTGTGAGAGCTCAGGTTAGAGTCTCGCTGGTCTGCCCACATCTTGCCTTCAGGAGGGTTCGAAAAGCAAGAGGCCCAGGCCCCTACCCGGAGCTTTAGTGACACCGGTGTGCTTCTCGGGAAGAGTGTCACCAGTGTCGGGTCCCCACAGCCCTCGAGAGCTCAGCTGGCCGTGCAGAGGCCCAAGGGTGTTTTCCCAGGTGGCTGCATCCAAAACAGGCCACTCTGCCTGCCCACTGCCGCCCTCAAGACCTCCAGCACCAGCTGTGACAGCGTCCTCCTGAGGACAGCCTGAGGGGGGCCCGGGTAAGGGGGACAGCAGAGGAGCAGGGACACGTGCCAGCCCTTCCCCAGGTGGCAGCTGCAAGAGGATCCAAATAAGGGCCTGGCACCCACACCTGCCCCTTCCCTTCTCAGCGGCTGGGAGCCCCCAGTCCACACAACTCTCACCCCAGGGCTCCTTCCCAGCACCCCCAGGCTGTGAGAGGAGAAGCTGTCGGGGCTCGCTGCCCCCACCCTCTTCCCACACTGGAAGGCAGGGCTCACCCGCCGTCTCTCCACAGGGCCGCGCTTGCGCACTTGAGGGGCTGGGGTACTGCAGGAAGAGACTGAACCCTGAGCTGGGGGAAGATGCTGTCTGTCTGGGTTTGCTCTCGGTTCTTTCTGTTTGTTTGTTTTGTTTTTATTTATGTTTTTTGAGACACGGTCTCACTGTATCCAAGCAGGCTTTGAGCTCTCAGTGATCCTCCTGCTTCAGCCTCCTGAGTGCTAGGATTGCAGGCATGTGCCACCACGCCTGGCCTTTCACAGTTCTGGGCAAAGTGTTGAGCAAGGCCGTTACTAAAGCCTCCACCGCTCACTACCCCGGCCACTTAATGAGTACTCCAAAGTCCCCAGGCAGTCACTGAGGTCGGCAGAGACCCTGCTGGCCCCGGGGGCTGCGCCTGGTGAATGCTTGTTGGAGGGGCAGCTCTGGGCTTCCAGCCCCAAACCCAACAGGCTCTTGGCCTGCGATTTGTCCTTCGCCATTTCCTCCTCTCCGCCGGACCATCATGTGATGCAAAGCACAGGCATTGCACAGAATCTGCTCAGGTGGGAGGCTCGGGCTGCCCGGCTGCTGTCTGGCCGGCTCCTTCTCTGCCGCATCCTGTGAGACCCCTGTGTCACCCACCGCCGGCCCAACCTCAGGCACATGAGTGTGCGAAGTGTGCGAGGCCAGCTCCTTCTCCCTCTCCTGCCAGCCCGGCCTTGGGTCTTGGGCCACTCCTCCTCCCCTGCTGGGCTGTGAGCACACACACGGGAGCCTGGCTGCCGGCCGGAGAGGAAGTAGCCCAGACAAGCAGCCAGGAGGTTGGCGTGACTGGAGGATGTGGAGCCGTGCCTGGGCGCACACACAATCGCCCAGCTGCCAGTGGCCTGCGTGTGTATGGGGGGCGGGACGCAGGCACACTCAGTGCCCCCTGGGACACTGGGCAGTTACCCCTCCGCCGGAACCAAACTGCCATCATTCCCAGCAGGGCCGGGCACATCTTGCCCACGGCATGAGCTCCTGGCCTCTCCCCAGCCTGCCCACGTTCAACGTGCGCACAGGCAAGTGGCTGCCACACCCCAGCCTGAGCCGGTGCCTTCCATGCGCACACCCAGGAGGGCACACAGGGACACAGCCTCTCACCAGCACCAGGGACAATGGGAAGATTCCACCCAGTAATCACCCCCATAATCACTGACAAAGGATGGCAGGCGACCCCGGGGCCCCCTACCCCAAGACTCAACCCTCTACCACCCCCTCTCCTCTAGTCCCTCTGAGGGCCTTGCCCATGCTGTCCCATGTGCTGCCCCCACCTTCACCATGAGCACCACCCCCAAGTGTGGCCTGACTCCACAGCACCTTGGGGCAGCCGGACTGGGGACGCGGGGCACCGCTCTCAGCAGCCCTCAGCCACTGAGAGGACAGGAACTCCGACCTGCGCATCACCCCTGCCTCGGCTGCTGTGAGAATTCTTCCTGAGGACCAGCGTGCTGGCAGCTCAGGGAATGGGGACATAACTACACGCAAGTGCTTTCGGAGTCTCCTCAAGGCCAGAGCTCTCGAGGGGTCTCTCTGCCCCTCGGATCCAGACTAAAGGGGCTCCAGTTCTACCCACACCTGGTGAAAACCTCTCTCTCTCCTGGCGAGTTTAGGGTGCAGGCTTTCGGTCTACCTGGTGCTGTCCTGCCCAGCACCGCAGCCACCTGTGGCCACGAAAGACTTACAGCGCGGCCGGGCTCGGCTGCAGCGTGTCAGAAGTGTAAGGGTATGAGGGTATTTGGAGATATGTCAGGTTAAATAAAAGACATTGTTAAAATGAGTTCGCTTGTTTCTTTCTTTTTAAAAACACAGCTGCTAGAAAATGAAGTTACAGGTAGCACCCATTCCATTTTTATGCTGATTTCATGGCTATTCTTTTGTCTTTGCTCCAGGTTGTCTCAGCACCAGACCCAGCTGTTTGCTGCCTCCTGCAGAACACCTGCCCTTCCGGGCCCCGCGCCCCACCTGTGAAGCCCTGGGCCGCGCGGCAGTGAATTCCCTAGGGTTTGCGCTTGTGGCCTCCTTGCTCTAAACTCTTTCTGGTCCTCACCATGGCTCTCCTCGCCCCCTTCTCTGCCTTCTCCCTCAGCAGCCCTCCTCCCTGTACAGGCAGAGCTGGGCAAAGCAGAGAGGGAAGCGGGAAGAGCTCCCATGCGAGCTGGGGGCCGCAGGCAGAGCCAGCCCCAGGCGGGGAGGCTGGTGAATCCCACTTTGTCCACACCTCGGCTACCAAACTCCCCTCCCTCCCAGCCGGGCCTGGCCCAGCCTGCACAGGTCTCACCCCCTGGGTCATCAACGTGTCCCCAGCCCAAGCTGCTGCCTCTGTGCCCGCCCCCAGGAGGGGACATGGGGACATGGCCTCTCACCAGCTCCAAGGGCTTCAGGGCGGCAGGGCCTTCCCACACTGGCCTCTCCTGATCTTTCCACACTCTTCACCGCCCGCACCCGTCCCATGCACGCAGACAGACACGCGTGTCCCAAACGCTGTCAGCTGTGCCTTCTCCTGGCTCACAGGGCGTCTCCTCTACCGCCCCCTGTGTGAGGCTCCTGCCCTCGTTGTACGCAGATCCTGGCCCCCAACCAACACACCCACACGCACGGGGAGCTCTGTGGGTACAGAGTACCCCAAAGGCACCCACCGAGGGGTCCACACGGGGACACTCAGCGCCGCCTGCCTGCCCCCCTTACCATCTCCCGCCTCCCGGCACGGGACTGTCTCCACCTGCAGCCCCCAGCTCGCACGGGCAGGCGCCCTCCCCACCTCTCCCCGATGCTTCGCCTAGCTCTCCCTGTGCAGGGAGGTCATGGAGGTGCCGGGGAAGCAGGGGGTAAGAAGCTGAAAGAAAAGGAGGGAAAACCCACCTATTCCAGTCATAGAAAGTCCTGCCAGGAGATGGGCGAGTCCAGGTCCCGGAAGGGACCCAGGATTCCAGCCAAGCAGCAAGAGCAAAAAATACAAGAGAGGCCTCCTTCCTGAACCTGGTCCTCTTCTCACAGAGGAGACAACGGCGAGTTCTGAACGCAGAGCGGACCCTGGGGCTGCAGGCGCCGCGCCGTCACACAGGGACAGTGAGGGTCCCGGGGACGGGGCCTGGCGGCTGTACTTAGGGCAGCTGTGATGTCAGCGGAAAGGCGGTCTGAGCTGGGAGCCCGGTACAATGGTCCCTTTGTCCCCCCGCCCCCCCCGCCCCACACCACACTGAAACCGCACACTGGCCCTCACCACGTGACAATGACACAGGGCCACATGAGACCAGCCACTGCCACAGTTCTGACATGGAGTGCATTGCCCACATACATGCACACGTATGTACACAACCACACTCATGGACCCACATGTGTAGTGAGAGGCTCTTTCACTCCTCTGCTACAAGTCCTGCTGCGCTGGACCCCAATGCATCACAATTAGCGCAAGTAAGAGTTGCATCCCTCGCCACACTAGCCGCATGGGAAGTGTTCAGAGCCACAGGGGCTGGGGGCTGCTGTGGTAGACAGCACAGAGGGAGGGAGAGGCCATTCATCACCACAGAGGCCACTGGCCTGCGGCTTCTGCTGCCCTCAGCCCCCACATACTCGGGGTGTCACTTGCCTCCCTTCCCGAAGCCCTCACGCATGCACAGGGACGCCGCTCCAGCCACATGCCCGCCTGCTTGCTCCTCCCGTGTCCACGCCGACTCTGTGCTCGGCCCTGCGGGGCAGCACCCTGGCTCTGGCCTGGAGGAAAGATCAGAGGGGAGCAGAACCCCAGGGTCACAGTGATGATCTCAGGTCTGTGGGGTGGACGGCGGGGAGCTTTGGGAACTCCGAGGGCCCAGTTCAGCCTGGGCTGGGCAAGAGAAGGCACTGTGACACACGGGAGCCTGGCCCGGAGGCCGGGACCGGAGCAGGCGGAGAGAAGGGACAGCGCATCCCGCTTGGGAAGAGGCGTAACGTGGGAAGTGGGGTATATGTGGGAATGGCAGTCGCCCTTTTGGGCTGGTGTGACAGGTGTGGGCCATGGAGGGGCAGTGACCCAGGACAGGTAGAGCCTTGGAACCTCAGCTCAGGATGCTTCCGGCTCCCTAAGGGGACAGAGTCCTGAGGAGCTGAGGTTCAGGTAGATGGGGGTTACCTGGGCCAGGTGGCAGGCAGGCAGATGTCACCAGTTGATGCACTGATCAGTTGGTCACTCGACTTCTGATAATCTGCATGTGACTAAGTCCTCGATTCTGTACCATAACTTCCTAGACTAATTCCTCCTCTGCACTGTCCTAACACAGTACAAGTGCTAACGATGAATTATTAAAGACTGTAACTAATAACCACGAGCCCTCGGCAGCAGCCACAACAGCGGCACTGTGCGTGGATTGAGGGCTGGGCGATCTGCACAGCCTTGCCCTGCTCTCTGCAGACCCGAGGGAGGGGCGCAGGACACGGGCTTCTCCTTCCACGGCAGCTTGGGCCCTGAGGCCTCCAGTGAGAGGGGGAGGCAGCTGTCATCTCCCTGTCCACTCCAGGCTCCCAGCTGTCTGGATTCTCTGTCTCCCACTGACCACACAGTCCACTGTCCCTGTTCCCTGAGATGAGGACCCGGCCAGTCATCTCCCCCTGGGGGCCTCAGGTTCTCGGCGAGGCCAAGCAAAGGGTGTGTGAAAAGAAAGGGAGGGAGGAGGAAGCAAGAATTTGAGGAAAGAAAAAACCAGGAAAGAAACAAAAGTAGGTAGGAAGCAGGTGCTGGGGTAAATGGCTCGGGGACCTGGTGTTCTCCCGGGAGAGGGCTCCCCATCCTTCCAGGGAGCCCCTGGCAGGTACCTTTTCGCAGCTCCCCAAGGCCCCTACGAGATGCTCCCGAGGGCTAGGCTACCTCCACCCTCCGATGAACAGGGGCAGTCCTCACTCCTGGCCTCCTCTCAGGCCCCCTAGTTGCTTCGGGGGGCCCTTTTGCTGGACTGCTTGCTCCCCAGGGTAAAAGCCAGATGCCCCTCTGTGTTTGTCTGGGGAGCGGAGGGGCTCCCAGGTCCTCCTTACCAATCCCATTTCCCCTTCCTCCCAGGACCTTGGGCAGCGCCTCCCCCAGACCCCAACCCTGCAGAGTGTGCACAGCCTGGAGAGAGAGAGCAAGCGGTCGGTCCACCCGGGATCTGAAGGGAAGTGTGCCTGTGCCTGTGTGTGCGTGCATGCGCGAATGCATGTGTGTGCGTGTGTGTGCATGCGTGCGTGAACATGCGTGTTGCCATACCGCATGGGCCGCCTGAATAGCGTTGTAGGATAGGAGTTGGAAAAATGCAAGGAGGGTTGCAGAAAGAAAAAGACTCGAGACACAAGAAAGGCAGGAGGATGTCAGGGGGCATAGGGACCCAGTTGAGAAGGGGCGCAGATGGGGCTGGGGATTTAGCTCAGCGGCAAAAGCGCCTGCCTGGCAAGCACAAGGTCGTGAGTTCGGTTCCCGGTACCGGAGAAAAACAAAAACA